CTCACTGCCCCCATGTCTGTGTGCATTGGTCATGCTAATATGCATGCATACAAGTCCTTTGGTTGATCTCTAACCCCTCTCCCCTGCCATTTGTCTCTGGATCTATTTTTGTTCATCAGTTTATGTTGATCATTATATCCCACATATGAGTGAGATTATGTGATATTTATCTTTCTCTAAGTGGCTTATTTCACTTAGCATAATGCTCTCCAGTTCCATCCATGCTGATGCAAATGGTAAAAGTTCCTTCTTTTTTATAGTAGCACTAGAGGCCCGGTGCACAAAAATTTGTGCACTCGGGGGGAGGGAGGGTTCCTCAGCCCGGCCTGTGCCCTCTCGCAGTCGGGGACCCCTCGGGGGATGACCACCTGCTGGCTTAGGCCTGCTCCCCAGGGGATTGGGCCTAAGATGGCAATCAGACATCCCTCTGGCAGCCCGGCAGCCCTCGGGGGATGTCCACTTGCCAGTGGGGAGCAGGCCTAAACTGCAGTTGGACATCCTTAGCGCTTCTGAGGAGGCAGGAGAGGCTCCCACCACCACCGCTGTACTGGCATCCATCAGCCTGGCTTGTGGCTGAGCAGAGCTCCTCCCATGTGAGAGCACCCTGACCACCAGAGGGCAGCTTCTGCATTGAGCATCTACCCCTTCATGGTCAGTGTGTGTCATAGTGACCAGTCATTCCCAGTCTTTCTGCTGTTAGGGTCAGTTTGCATATTACCCTTTTACTATATAGGATAGAGGCCTGGTGCACGGGATGGGGCCAGCTGGTTTGCTCTGAAGGGTGTCCCGGATCAGGGTGGGGGTCCTGCTTGGGTGCCTGGCCAGCCTGGGTGAGGGGCTGATGGCTGTTTTCAGCTGGTCACACCTCCTTCAGGGTGGGTGTCCCCACTGGGGTGCCTGGCCAGCCTGGATGAGGGGCTGAGGGCCGTTTTCAGGCTGGCGGGTGACTGAAGCTCCCAGGCTCTTTTTTTTTTCTTTTTTTTTATTCTGGGATTTATTTACCTTCTATAGCTGTCACTGGAGCTGAGAGCCGGCTCCAGCTCTGAGGCCGTTGCCAGCTCTGAGGCCGTGGCTGGCTGAAAACAGGTATCTGGGTTTGTTTAGATTAGATAATTGAAACTCTGTTGCCATCACTGGCGCTCTAAGCTCTGAGCCCACTGGTGGCTGAAAGCAGGTACCTGGGGTTTGTTTAGCTTCTATAATTGCAACATTGTTGCATCCGGAGCTCAGAGCTGGGCTGCGGCAGGCGGGGAACCTTGGCTTCCTCCATCGCCGGGGCAACCAAGCCTCATGTTCACTTCAGCTGGTTGGCAGTTAATTTGCATATCCTGCTGATTAGCCAATGGGAAGGGTAGCGAAGTTACGGTTAATTACCATGTTTGTCTATTATTAGATAGGATAGTATTCCATTGTGTAGATGTACCACAGTTTTTTAATCTACTCATCTGCTGATGGGCAGTTAAGCTGTTTCCAAATCTTAGCTATGGTGAATTGTGCTGCTATGAACAGAGGGGTGCATATATCCTTTCTGATTGGTGTTTCTGTTTTCTTGGGATATATTCCTAGAAGTGGGATTACTGGGTTAAATGGAAGTTCCATTTTTAATTTTTTGAGGAAACTCCATACTGTTTTCCACAGTGGCTGCACCAGTATGCATTCCCACCAGCAGTGCACAAGGGTTCCTTTTTCTCCACATCCTCTCCAGCACTTGTCATTTGTTGATTTGTTGATGATAGCCATTCTGACAGGTGTGAGATGGTACCTCATTGTTGTTTTGATTTGCATCTCTCAGATGATCAGTGACTTTGAGCATGTTTTCATGCATCTCTGAGCCTTCTGTATGTCCTCTTTTGAAAGTAACTATTTAGGTCCTTTACCCATTTTTTGATTGGATTTTTTATCTTCATTTTGTTAAGTTGTATGAGTTCACTGTAAATTTTGGAGATTAAACCCTTTGCTTGGGTCTTTTCTATGTTGTCTTCTAACTTGCTGGTTTGGTCCTCAGCTTTTTCTAGTCTACTGTTTAAATCTTCAATTCAGTTCTTTATTGCAGGTATGTCATTCTTCATTTTCTCTTGATTCTTATTCATGTTGGTAAATTTCTTTTTTTTTCAACTAATCTGTTTAGACAGTAAAAATATGGAATGCTTCATGAATTTGGGTGTCATCATTGCGCAGGGGCCATCCTAATCTTCTCTGTATTGTTATAATTTTTGTATATGTACTGCTGAAGCGAGCATGTTGGCAAATTTCTTATCCAGACGTTTGAGCATCCTTATAACGAGTACTTTGAATTCTTTCTCTAACAAATTACTTGCCTCTAGTTCATTTAGCTCATTTTTTGTGTGATCCCCCCTTTTCTTTCATTTAGAGGTTGTTTCTTTATCTCCCCATTTTTGCTCTTCATTTTAATTTTTTTCTATGTATTATTCAAACTGCAATGCCACCCACATTTTTTGATTTGGTCATATGTAGTAGTTGTTTTTTGGTACCCTGTGGTGCAATCTCTCATGTCTCCTAGGATGGAAGTTTTGGGGAGGACCCCTACTTGAGATATTTGGGTTCTCCTGATGTTGTGGCATTTGAATGTTATTGTCCCATTCGTGGATGGCATCTCCTCTTAGGGTGTCTGATTATGTGGCTCTCTCACTACCACATCATGCAATCTGTTGTGGAGGTGCTGACAGAACAGCACAAAATACAATTTGACAAGATATGACACAAAAGGAACAGAACATGAATGTACACAAGACACCTATAACCCCAATAAAAGTGACCCTCCAAGAAAAGAGATTTAGGAAATAGAAAAGAGAGCAAGAATGATAGGAAGGGCAGAAAAAAGAAAGAAGGAAAGAAAATGGGGACAAAACAACAAAACAAACAAATAAACCAAAAAGCACAAACAAATAATATCCAGAAAAAATGGGGCATCAGAATCTGTAGATGTAGAGCTTAAATAAAGAAAGTAAGGTTAAGGAATTGGATGAATAGGGGAAGGACCATGGCTTAGAATAGAGGAGGGAGAAAAGAAATGAGAAGACAAGAAGAAAAAATAAAAAATAAATAAAGAAAAAAAATTTTATTGAAAAGAAGAATAGAGGAGAGAGCAGATAGGCCTAAATTTCAGTAGTGAAACAAGTTAAAAAATTAGGAGAAGAAAAAAGCAAGAGAGGAGAGAAAAAATAAAAATAATTGAGTAGTGAAGAAATGATAAGACAAGGGGAAATGAAGTAGGAGCAGGGAAGAGGAAATTAGATATATGAATAAAGCAACAGAGACTAGAATAATAATAGATCAATAAAGCAGATAAAGAAGATCAATTTTTGAAAGAGGGAAGAAAGAAAGGAAAGAGAAAAACTAAAACAGGGGAAGGAGAAGTAGAACAGAAGAAAAGAGAAGAGAGGAAGAAGGTGCAAAAAAATAAATAAAAATAATTAAATATAAATATAAAATAGAAGATAAAAAAGTGAAGTGTCATTCACTTCAGCCGAGATTTAATGCCTCATAGGAGCTGGTTTAGGACCCCACTCTTCTGTTCTGTCTGCTAATTCTGGGCTTCTTGTTAGGTACTTAGGTGCTGGCCACTGTCAGCACTGTCTTTTAGCATTTAGCTCCCTGCTTGAAGCTCCAAGCAATCCATGGGTCCTCTGCTTATGTCTGTTTCCACAAGCCTTGGCTGCAAGCAGGTGAGGCCAATCTGCCCTCTTTGCCTGTCTGCAAGCTGTCAAACTTAATCATTCAAGCCTCTGCTTCTGACAGGGCTGTAGGTGGGGGAGGTGCTGTTTAGCTTTCAGGGAATAAGATGGGTGTTTTTTTCCTGACCCAGAGCTACTCCTCTGTGAGTGGCCCAAAATATTACTCTGCCCTTGGCTGGTCAGAGATCCTTGTATGGATACCAATGGAATTGGCTGGCAACCTGGAGTTTTTATCAGTCTGGTTCCCAGAATAGTGGGGTGGACCCGTCCCTCTTCCAATCCAGTCACTGAGGGCTCCTTGGGCCTATTCAGACCATGAGTTTGGCCTCTGCTTTTGTTTCCTCTGTGAAGCTCAATATGTAGGGCATGGCATGCTGTATCACCTGCCCTGAGGCTACTGGGAGGGGCTTGCTCTTCTGGGGAGTTTGGAAGCTTAAGAATGTCCCAGTGCAGATCTCCTGGCCACGTCTCCCTGCCCTGCTTCCCTCCTCAGCCTCTCCTCAGGCACCTCAAGTCCGTGTCTCCCTTTCAGTGCCAAAGCCTTGGGTGAGTGATTGCAATTGAAAAGTCCTGTGTTCTGAGCTTAGAGAATAAAAATAAAGACAAAACAAAAGAAAAACAACAATGAAACCATGGCTTTCTCTCCTCCCAGCACTGTGGGGAGCCGGCATGGCCATGCCATACTCAGCCTTAGGGCCTTATGTGCCATGCCATCTCAGCCTGGTTCAGTGACCCTGAGTGGGGGTGGTGAAAGGCTTAGAAAAGACAGACATGAGAATGAAAGCTGGGTCTCAGTGGGACGCTGCCTCCCTGATGATGAGACAGTGCCAGCGCCCACAAGCCTTGTCTTTATTTTATAGCAGATGCCACGAGGCGAAGTAGGGGCGTGATCAAGTTGTTCACATCATTCTTGTGGGTTTCAGTCTCACTCAACTACACACACCTGAACTCTATCACTCAGGCACGTGGGGCCACATGTTCGGATCATAGGTTCAAGCTTACACTATAGCTGTTGTCTATAATTGTTCTGGGAAGGCTCTGCCCTCCAAGCTGGGACTTGCACGTGGCAATGAGAGGACTGTGCCCTCTCTTCAGTCCAAGGCTTGAACCTGTCCAAAACACTGTAGCAGCACCACATATATCCCCCTTTTTCTTTTGTTTTTAAACATGCCTATTTACATTATAGAAAACTCTAAACAGCATAATCAAAACATCAAAACAAACTTCTGGCTATTAACAAAACATTCAACTCAGCAACATTAATACAGCAACAAGAGAGAACAAAACTCTGGCTATTAATAAAGCAATACCAATGCAAAATCAAACTACAAACACGTTAACGTTTTCAGGATATCTTACTTAGAGTCCTTAGATTTAGCTCTGTGAGATTTTACAGAAAATTGGCAGTTCACCAACACTAACATAGATAGCTTCCTCTTGCTTTTCTAACATCTGCTTGGCCTCAGTCGCCATCTTCTTCAGCTGACTCCATGTTGATACCTCAGTCACTTGCGTAGTAAAATGCTGCCGATGCAAAGACGTCGTTGATGCAAAACTAGTCCCCTGGATCAAGCTGTTTGGATGGTTGGCCTTGGCACTGAGTCGACATCAGCCCCAGTCAAATCAGCCCCGTCTGCACTGGTGGAAGTCTGGTCCCTTCACAGCTTCTTTCTTTAGCCGCTGCTGCATGGAAAAGAGCAACCCTTGGTCCTGCAGAGCTGGAGACTTACAACTCTGAGTCTGGAGTCTCACACAGACCCAAAGTTCCAGGGAGCTATCAGGTCACACAAGCAAAGATAACCAAAGCCCAGAAACAATGCAATTGCCGCAAGAGCTTACAATCTAGGTCAGAAATAAAAGTTACTTCCTCAAACAACATCAACCACAGCCATTTTTTTCTTCACAGTGGCTTAAACAAAACCTAGGAGATTTCTACCTTATTTTGTATCTCCTATTTTCTTCTTATTTCCTACTGCTTATCTTTCTACTGCCTATTTCCTACTGCTTACTTCAGTGATGGTGAACCTATGACACGGGTGTCAGAGGTGACATGCGGACTCATTTTTTTGGTTGATTTTTCTTTGTTAAATGGCATTTAAATATAAAAAATAAATATCAAAAATATAAATCTTCGTTTTACTATGGTTGCAAATATCAAAAAATTTCTATATGTGACATGGCACCAGAGTTAAGTTAGGGTTTTTCAAAATGCTGACACGTGAGCTCAAAAGGTTCGCCATCACTGGCTTACTTCTTACCGCTTACTTTTTACCGCTTCTACCGCTTATTTTCTTCTGCTTATTTTCTCACGTCTACTGCTAATTTCTACCACTTATTGCTCTATTTCTACTGCTTATTTTCTAATGTCTACCGCTTCTACAGCTTATTTCTTACCGCTTATTTTCTAATGTCTACCGCTAATTTCTACAGAGATCTCTTATTTTCTATCGCTTATTTCCTAACGCTTATTTCCTAACGCTTATTTCTCTATTTCTACCGCTTCCTACCGCTTGCTTCCTACTGCTTATTTCTACTTATTTCTCTATTTCTACCACTTATTTCTACAGCTTATTTTCTACTTTCCCTTTTGCTTATCTACATATTTAAAAGTGTTTTACATTTAAGAAATTTAAAAATGCTTCAATAAGCATTGTTTTTAGGGATCCCTTCCTAGGATCCATTTCCCCAAGTTTTTACACCAAGCTAATATTACCACACTTCGGCTCCCTACCTTACTTTTGCTTTTAGCCTTGTTTTCTGCTTTTAGCCTTACTTTCTGCTTTTAGCCTTATTTTCTGCTTTTAGCCTTATTTTCTGCTTTTAGCCTTACTTTCTGCATTTCTTATTTCTACTTATTTCTCTGCAGGTGCCTCAAGGGAGCCTCCTTTCACCTGACCACTTTTAATTTTTGCTTTTAGCCTTACTTTCTGCTTTTAGCCTTATTTTTAATGATCCCCTTCCTAGGATCCTGAATTTCCCGAGTATTACACTGAGCTAATTTACCACACCTCTGCTCCCTACCTTCAAGGGAGCCTCCTTTCACCTGACCACTTTTAATATCCCCCCAAACTCAGTCCTGTTCGGGCACCATATGTGGGGAGCCCGAACTCAGGCCCTGTTCCTCATAACTCAGTCCCTGTTCCCAGAACTCAGTTCCTGTTCCAAGAACTCAGTCCCTGTTCGGGCACCATAAGTGGGAAGCCATCACGGCCATGGCATACTCAGCCCTAGGGTGTCTTATGTGCCATGCCAGCTCAGCCTGGTTCAGTGACCCTGAGTGGGGGTGGTAAAAGGCTTAGAAAAGATAGACAAGAGAATGAAAGCTCGGTCTCGGTGGGATGCTGCCCCTCTGATGGACAGTGCCAGCGCCCAGAAGCCATGTCTTTATTTTATAGTTGAGGTGAAGTAGGGGCATGATCAAGTTGTTTACATCATTCTCATGGGTTTCAGTCCCATTCAACTACATGCACCTGAACTCTATCACTCAGGCACATGGGGCCACATGTTCGGATCATAGGTTCAAGCTTACACTATAGCTGTTGGCT